GTTTGCTTTTTTTTTTTCCCCCTTGCCTTCTGATCTTTATACCTATTTTCTTGTCTTGTAGCATTTGCAAAGACTTTCAGGACCTTGCCAAGCAGCAACGTAGATCGATTGTCATATACCGCACATCACAACCCTCTGAGATGACTTATCCCATTATCCCCATTTTACAGGCGGAGAAACTGAGGCACAGAGAAGTTAGTCTCTTGCCCAAGGCCACACGACAAGTAAGCGGTCAAACCAGGACTCCAACCAAAACCTGTGTTCTCAACCACTGCCTTAAAAGAAAACTCAGTAAACATTCGATGTATTTTTTCCAACATGCAAAATACCCTGGAAGTTTCCACAGTGACCTCTGGATCTTAGATGTGGAGCTGGGGGCCTGAGGTCTGGCTCTGACTCCGCCCCCTTTCCTAGACTCAGTTTTCTCCTATGACGGAGGGTTTGAAGAGATGATATCTGAAAGCCACAGAAACTCTGCCTTCAGAGTGGAGGAGACAGGCCCCCAAATAGATTGTATTCATTTCCTGTGGCTGCCTAACAAATTACCACAAACCCGGTGGCTGAAAACAACAGAAATGTATTCTCTTATCGTTCCGGAGGCCGGAAGTCCTAAGACCAGGTGTTTGGTAACAGGGCCCCGGTACTGTCCCCCTTCTGGGGGGTTCTGGGGGGGATCCTTCCTTGCCTCTTCCAGCTCATGACTCCAGGCACTCCTGGGCCTGTGACCGGTGCACTGCAACCTTTGTGACTATCTTCACGTGGCCTCTCCTGTACCATTTGTGTGCAATTGCCCTCTGCCTTTCTCTCTCTTTTTTTTAACGTTTATTAATTTTGGCAGGGGAGGGGCAGAGCGAGAGAGGGAGACACAGAATCCGCAGCAGACTCCAGGCTCCAATCTGTCAGCCCAGAGCCCCGTGAGGGGTTCGAACTCACAAACCATGACCTGAGCCGAAGCCGGACGCCCAGCCAACTGAGTCACCTGGGGGCTTTTTAAAATTTAAGACAGAGAGAGTGTGTATGTGTGAGCAAGGGAGAAGGGCAGAGAGAGAGAGAGAGAGAGAGAGAGAGAGAGAGAGAGAGTCTTAAGCAGTCTCCATGCTCAGGATGGAGCCCAGTGCGGGACTTGATCCCATGACCCTGGGATCGTGACCTGAGCCAAATCAAGAGTCAGATGCTCAACCGGTTGAGACACCCAGGTGCCCCTGCCTTTCTCTTTTATAAGGACACTTGCCTTTGGGTTCGGGGGCTTCTCGGACGATCCAAGATGATCTCATCTTGAGTTCCTTCCCTTAATTACATCTGCAAAGACTCTTTTCCCAAATAAGCTCTCATCCACACGTCTCAGGTGGACCTATCTTGGGCGGGTGCATCATTCGACCCACTCCACAGATCGAAAGAGAAGATGGGGGCACCTGGGTGGCTCAGGCAGTCGAGCCTCCGACTTCGGCTCAGGTCATGATCTCGGGGCTCGTGAGCTCGAGTCCCACATTGGGCTCGCGGCTGTCAGCCTGTCAGGGCAGAGCTCGCTTCATCCTCCACTTCAAGGACAGGAAGTCTTGGAGGGAGTTGTCATGCTTCGACTGTTAACGTGGAGTTGAGGGATCTTCTCCCACACAAAACCTCCAAACAGTGATAAAAGCCGGCACTCACACAGGGCTTAATTATGCCACGCCGTGTTCTGAGTGGTGAACATCTATGAACTCAGTCC